ACACATCCACCCATAGATCTCCATATAATATTGTCTGGACACAAGGAGCCAAAATTCAGCAAGACGCAGATATGGTGATTACTGGAACTCCTCGATTCTGTCTGCCAGCCCCGGCAACCATGCACTCTCATAACTGATCCATACTGATTGTATCAATGTACATGTATGTGCTGTATGTGTTAATCCAGTGAGCTTTTGTAACCACATGCAGATGTTTACAACGTACAGACAGCGTCTTTTTTGGCAGCAGTGATGCCCGTTAGGAGAATGCGTCTATTCAAACATGTTAATTTTAATGAGGAGGCACAGTGGGAGAGCACGGCACAGTTACATCAGTACATCAAGAGTAGCAGAGACCTCACCCCACATCCTTGCATTCCCAATACACATGCATGTGAGAACCCGTAAGTACATCTGTGCACAAGGTGCAGTTTGAAGATGATGACTGTTAGAGGCGATGAGAATCGAAGACAGTATCTTATCTCAGTCAAGTGAATGCTCTCCAATATAGTGCTTCAGCCCCTTAGTCCATACATGTATAATAGAGAGAGCTTTATAGGAAGTAATCCAAAAGAGTGAATATAGTTGAGAAACCAAACCTTTTCGCAGATGGAGTGTAAGGGATCAGTGGTAAGTGGAGTGTTCCTTGGCCGGCCATATGCTTTCATTGGCGACAGTGGCTGGAGATACAGAAAAAGGATGAGCTTGGTAAATTTGGAGACAGTCTCAAATCATTATAGTTGTGCAGCCCCTTATCATTGTAAATGTTGGCAAAAGTATGGACACCTTTGGTATTCCAGACTGGGTATGAGAAGGGGACAACTCCAGTGAGAAGAGAATAGTTATTAGATACAGGGCTAGTAAAATGCCATTTACACATACTTCTACAAAAACAAAACTTATGCCCTGTCAATATGTGCACAGGTGTTTTTTGAAAATGTAGCTTTTTCTAAGCGTTTTGGCCTTTTGCGAACAGCGTTTTAGGTTACTGAAAACAGTGTCGTGGTGGTGTAGACATGGCCACTCCGTTGTTTAGCTTGTATCAAAGTTACTGAAAGATTGATCGTTCATTGTGTTTTTTGTGACGGTATGTTTTTGTCAGTGTGACTGTGTGTCTGTGTGTCTGGGTGCTTGTGTCTCACTGGACACCATCAGTCAGTCACTCAGCCAGTATTGGCTGAGTGACAGAGGCCAAGCTGACAGCTCTGCGCTGGAGGTCGCTGGCTGCGGTGAATAATGAAAGGAAGTGTCATTTAGACGTTTAAAGTGCTTTTTAATGCTGCTTAACAAGGAGGGTTTTCTTTCTACTTTGTGAAACTGGAGGCTTCGAAAATACTATCAGTGACAGCTATTTTCTAAGTTAATCCTGCCTATTCCATCTGTTATGCTGAGGTGCAGAATTGTTCTGGAAAAGAATCCTTATGCCTCTCTCCACCATGATCCTACAGAAACTGCAAATATTGAACATTGTGTTTGAGGAAAAACGAAAAAAAGCTTTACCTAGAAAAATTCTGCATTGTTTTGCTGTTACCGTGCAGTATGTGACATACTGATCTGATTCTGTTTGGCATCACTGTAGCTATGATTTGAACACACACCTTGGTTAGGGGATCCCGGGGTTTTGTGCTATTAATATTCATGGTGCAGTTTTGCCAAGGACAGGGGACTGACCTTGGGGTTGCAGTGGGAGCCAGAGGGAGAATCTCAGTAGTTTGATGAGTGTTCCTTCCCCTCCTTTCCTCTCGAGTTTTTATCCATTACCTGCGGACGCCAACAACATAACCTGTATGTCCGAGTGTCTGTCTGAGCTTTCAAGTAGGCGTGAATAATCCAGGCGGTTACTAGCTGGTATTAAAAAGCTAATTCCGGCTTAATTTGAATTTTCCAAGTTGCAGTTGCAGCTGCACTCACATGCACTCTGACAAGTAGTTCTTTAAGTTGAGCATCAGTGTGGGTAAGAGAGAGGATTTGTGATGACTTATCACTAAACAGGATCATAGACTAACCCTGTTAAATCACTGAGAATACAAAGATGTCATGCGAGTTGAGAAACCTGTCACAAAATCTCACCATCAGTCAACAATTCTGTCTTTTAAAAGACTCTTCTCTTGTCCTCAATGTTCCCTGGTGTTGAAAATATGGAGACAAACAGCACCTCCTGGACAAAACAACAGCAGACCTCGCTGCCCAGCTGGCGTCATGCCCGGTTTCTGCTATTCTGTTCGAGGATACAACAAGGTTGTCTCTGGGTCACTGCACAGCTCTGACATGCGCACGTCCACATTTAGGTTTGTCCAGAAGTCCCGACCCCACCACTTACCCCTGCAGTAACAGACAGCCCCCTCATCAGTGATTTGCCGATTCTCTTTATTTTACCTCTGAATCACTAAATCCCCTCTAACTCACCATGAATCGATCTCTGCGCTTCCCCTTGCCTTCATTCTTGCACACTCCCCCTCGCCTTCATTTAGAATCCACCTCTCCTTGTCTCCTTTCATTTACCACACACAAAAATCCAATCCATATCCAATCGTCCGTATCTGTGAAATATTTTGTTGGTATTAGATGACAGAAAAAGCAGGCCCTGTGATTATTGTGGGCCTCCTCCTGTTTATTGGCAGCATGGAGGGTTCAAATGAAGCTTAGCAGGGGGAACATCCAACTCCTCCTGACCTTAAATCACCTCAAACTGTAAATGATCACTGATAAAGCAACCATGTAAGCATCTATATGGTAATGAGAGTGGTGGCCAGGGCACTGTAAATCAGGATGTTTGTCCACTTGCAGCCCACGAGGATTCATCAAATAAGGAAAGCGGAGAGAGGCACCATCAAGGCTTCTTATTGTTGTGTGACAGATTAAAAAAAAGCAAGTGGCAGTAATCAGAGATTTGACCCAAGAGAGTTGGCCTTATGTACTGAGGCCAAAGTCATCTGTGTGTGCTCCCAGTGTGTCATCAGCCCTCGCAAACACAGCAATTTTCACCCAGGAGGAATCTTAGTCAGTCAAACCCACATGTCTTTTGGTCTGCCAGCATGAAAGGCGAACACATAAAAAGAAATGAATTCAAAATGTGGTGTAAAATTACACAATTGCCAGTTCAATCATAGGAGTGACTCCAATTTTGTCCCTCTCAGAGAACAGCAGCTTCAATTCGTATCAGTTACAGGTGACAAAAACACACCTGCTGTGAAACAGTGTTTAGCCATACTATACTACACTAAACTGTGTGTAATGGACGGTGTGGATTATGCTGCAGAAGTTAGTGGCAAAGTTAGACTCTTATTCAGATTTTGATCTTTTATTCCACCTTGAAAATGAGCATCAACTATAAAACACACCACATCTGAAAATTGTGTTTTAATCTTAATGCAATGAACTGTGCGAACAAGGATGAGGGCCTAGACTTTTGGACAGTCTCAACATTAACAGTGTTTTGGCCTCTGGCGCTGTTGAACGATCCCATAAGCACTTAATTGAAAAATACACTGATGCCCTTAGAGTCTGTTATAACCAGCATGACTTCCACAGCTGACATCTGTTCTCAGTGACAGACTCACAGTCTCTCAAGGCATATTTGATAGCTAAAACTTCTTGACTGAGAAGTTTTTGCTTGACTGATTTTAGTACAACGTGTCATCTCTTACAGAACCCAAACATTCATCAACAACTTTGTTTCTTTAAGAATGGATCCACTTCACTGTAACTGCACCGTAGAACCACGTGGCAACAGGCAGGTCAAGGGCTACATGCCAGGAGCATTTGCATGTAGGAATTATGGGACTGCAACATGAGAGACATGTACGCTTGAGTGGTGATTTCAATGGCAGATAAGACACTTAAGGTAGTCCCATCTGACTACAAGCATCCTTTCAGTGACGTGTCTGATTCAGATGTCAGTTGATTCCTGAGAGAGCAGCACGGACGACTGAGCAGAGTATTGAATGAGGAGGGAATCTAGCACCCAGTGCGCTACAGCTTACGCCCTTCTTTCAGCAGGGGGTGGGGTGTGGGGCTGGTGGTTGGCAGGGCAAAGGGCATAGACATCTAAATAAAAGAATAACTTCACTACGCAGTTACAGACTGACAAATACTGCAACGGTTCACGTGGATTTCATGCCTGAAATGAATGAATGAATGAACGGATCCACAGAAGGATGGAGGAGGGTTATTGATGCAAACCCTGATATAATGTAGAAAAATATGGCATCAAAGACAGATTGTCTGACAGATTGTGACCAAATGTCATAGTGTAGTAAGCAAGCAGGAGTGAGGCGAAAACACTGTGAGGGAGAGAAGGAAGAAAAGGGATGGATACAAGGCTTCCCAGAGCCAGCGAGTATTTATAGATCTGATACAGTCAGAACCTCTGCCTGGCAGCAGCAGTGTGCTCCTTGTTGCTCCTGCTGATGTCTCTGTACACATCTGCCACTGCTCTGACTCAGTGGAGAGCATTGGGAGAGAATGTGGTGGTGATATTAATGGCAGAGAGGCAGGCTGACCACCAACCCACTGAGAGAGATATACTGCAGCAATGAAGCCTAACTTTCTATGTCTTTATGCCACTCACTCGGGGATCTCACTACTGTCATATTCACATTTGTTATAATCTCCGAAAAAAAGTATCCACACTTTATCAATTTAATTCAAATATTAGGATTGTTTCTATCTCCTTCTTTGTGTGCGCGTGTGTATGTGTGCTTAAGGGTATGCGTGCGCGCGTGCCAGCCCAAGTGAGAGTGCCGACCAGAAGCGCGCTTGGTTCACTCCGCTCGTGGATGCCGAGAGCGCACACAAAAAACGGAGACGGGGAAACACCGACTTAAATGGCTCTCTTTTCTGATTTACTGCAAATCAAATATGACTCGCTAACGGCAACATACTCGTAGCCATCCTCCGTGAGGGCATACGGCAACACCGCTGTTGTTTTCACTAACAAGATTCGCAACATTATCGGCTGTTTCACACAGTTTTGCACATTCCGGCGCACAGGGGTGAAAATGAAGGCGAAAAACCGTGACCAAAGCCTGTCGGACTCCAGAGAGCTGGACGGATCCTATGACCAGCTGACGGGTGAGTGAACCGGCGTCTGAAACATTGGTGGATGTTGTAAGATTTGCCTGCAGAAAAAAAAAAAAAAAGATTTAATATGCAAGCTGATAATCTGGAAGGAGCCTGATCCATCTAACTTCAAGTGGCTTTGAAATGTCACAACCTGTTCGCCATTCATCTCATCCTCTTACAAAAAAGAACTATTTTATACGAAATGTTTTTTTATATATGTAAGTTTATATGTATGTGTATAGTTTATAGTAAGTTTATATGTAAGTTTTCTTTGTCTTACTTTAATTTTCATCCTCCATGGTAACACCATTTTTCTGTTGTATCCCTGTAGCTGTTGTGTTACCTCACTAAAGTAGTGGAATACATACAGTTCTTTTTTCTAAAGGAATAAAAGAGAGAGGGGCGAATAGTTGGAAAAACAATATTTGAATGGAGAAAAAAAAAATACACATATTGAATCTTTTAATGTCAGTGTTGCATGTCAATGTGGTGCGTAATGTTAGTGAATGATGCTTGGACTCTTGTCAACAATTTAAAGACAACATGTGTTGTGATTCTGCTGGCCTGGCTCAGCTATGGGAGACCACCTTCACGTCGCTGTCTTGACTGTTGAGAAAAGCGCTGTCGGGTTGGAGAACACCTGTCCGACCGATCTGATGCCCACACTGTGGAGCTCGAGCAGATTCCTCTGCTTTGGTGTGTTTATCAGTCTCAGACAGAAATCTCTCTCGTCTATGTGAGCTTCCTCTGTGTGTAGTGGTTAAAGAAGGGTTCTGATAGCCTATTCTCTGCAAGCACAGCAGGCATCTGAGCGACACTTAATGCCATGTGGATTTTCAAGCGGGGCAAATTTGTGCGTAATTTCGTTTCGCGAGCGTCTGCTCTGTGGTTTCAAGCAAAAAATAAACTTGGTCCTATTTTGAGCTTTCTCTCTCTCCGTATATGAGTGTATTTGAGGTGAGCGGGCTGATGACAGTATCTCCACTTTATCAGTACACGAGACTTGACACACATCCGTGTTATAGCGACATATTCTGCGCATACCTGTGGTCTGTATGTGCTCCTTTGTGAGCCGAGCACTCCCCCGAGGTGTTTTCCTGTCACCACGTCCTTCCATTGTCATACTAGAGCCCACGGGCTCCCGCTGCTTATGTGAGCACCGTTTGCCCGTTAAGTGCCAGCTGCCTAAATAAAATGTTTGCTTTTATGCCTGAACACATCTCAGGCCTGCAGAGGCAGGATGTGCCTGGCCAGACAGCTGTGCGCCTCGGGCTCGACGGGGACACTAGAATCTCATTTGCACTCGTCCACGCATTAGCAGCTAAGCGGTGCTTTGTCACAAATTGAATGCATCCGAAATTACAAAATGACTGCAAGGTGTCTCAATGACACCGTGTGTGCTGATGTGCAACAGACATGCAGTATGTGGGCATCTTCTGCTGAATTCATCTGTGGATATTTTTTTTTTTTCAAAGCATGTGTGTGGGTATGTATGTGTGGGTGAGTTAAGAAGCAGCAGATTCACTTTTTTTTCTACAGTCTATTGCTGAGAGTTAAAAACACACACACACACACACACACAAAGAAGAAGAATATCTTCTGCTGGATTCAAAAACATCCATCAGGCTTCACAACTCAACACATTGGTATTGTAAGTCATGTCAACCAACCCACTCAGTGTGCTGACCGTCATGCTTGGACAAACGGTGAGCTTGGCGGAGCTTCTCATGGGCTCCACAACACACTCTGGAGCAGCTTGCCTGAATTTTCTTTTACAGCTTCACTTTTGGCTCTGCAATCAGTTTCAGATTATGATATAATACACACCCAGCTATGAGATGATTAGCGAATGTGACAGTGGAGGAGATGAAACTTTCAGTGACGTAAATATAAACTCTTTAGTCTTTTTGGCTCTTCCCTGTGTTTCAGTCTTGTTGAGATGGCCCCCTGTGTCTGTCCACAAGAAATCATGCTGCTTTTTTTAAGAGTTGAGCCAAGGGGAGAGGGAGTGCGACCAAGTCATCCAGTGTGGCGGAGCAATTTTCTCCTGGCATAGCTTTTAATGACTTCTTCAAAGCTGTGAATTCCATGGTTAATTCATCTTTGTGAGACGCTGTCAACTCTTAAACATACTTAGTCCTGATAGTTGTATGGTTATTAAGGCTGGATCTGGCCAATAAGAGTCAGTGTAATGAATGAAGCTAAAGCTGTGGAGAAAAACTGCTGGTCTTTTGTTTATGGCATTTATTTTTTATATTATAGAAGCAGTTAACTGTAAAGTGAGACATTATATTGTGTCTGTGTGTGTGTGTGTGTGTGTGTGTGTGGGTGTGTGTGTGTGTGTGTGTGTGTGATAGAGAGACAGAGTGAAAGGGCAGGTGCCTGGTGTTTTTTCTGCATAATCCCCACTAAAATGAAAAAGTATATAGTGTGATGTGAGTGCATGACTTGAGAATGGATTCTTAAGTGGGTTTTTTTTTGTGTGGGAAGGACAGGTGAGTCATTCTTCTTACTTACAAGCAGCTTGTGTGTGCGACAGAGTGAAAATGTGTGTGTGTGTGTGTGTGTGTGTGTGTGTGCGCGCGCGTGCGTGTGCCTCGAAGCAAAGCTGACCAGCGTTGCTTAAAGGTAGTGTGGGTGGTCTCCAATCCCCATTTGAGTGAAATGTAACCCTCTAGAAATAACTCGCTCCCAGCCTGCTACATTGTACAGAGGTTGCGCCCCACTGTGTGCGTGTGTGCCTGTGTTGGAGTGTGTGGTAGCCTGGCATTCCCTGTTGTGTTTAAGAGCACCGGCTGAGAGATGAGAGGTAATTATAGAAGCGTGGTGCAGTAATCTCCTCTTCCACCTCACAAGCCACACTCAAGAGGAATCATATCACCTACACACACGAATGAGCACACACACAATGGCTTCTCTCCACATATGCACATGCGGCTATTATCACAACCTCGTCATGATCCCTTCTCCTCACCGCACGTCCACAATATTGTCTAGAGGCTAAATCAGTAGTAATTGGCAGCCGGTCTGCCAATCATCCCTTTGTTCTGTCTGACACTTAAACTGTGCATCATCTTATGTACGGGTGAAGAAGATGAGGTTTTTTTTTTTTTTTAATTGAATTAAAATTTTTTAGACACACCAAATCACATCAAACTGATGTCCTGTTAAATCCAAACTTAAATAAAGTAATGTCTGAGTTTGGAGGGATATTTACAGCCACCTTTGAGAGTAATCTGTCCTGTGGTCAGAGGTGAAATGATTAGTTGTTGGACAGGAAGTTGATCTACGACGATTCTGATAACTGATTAATCCTGTAAGTCATTTTTTTTAAAATGAAAAGACCAAAAACTTGGTTCCAACTTCTCAAATATGAATATTTGATGGTATCCACAGTATGATAGTGAATTGAATATATTTTGCTTTTGGACTCTGTGGTGGATAAAACAAGACACTTGTAGAGGTAGAGGTCACCTTGGGCTCTGAGAAACTTCACTTCAGATTTTTCACCATTTTCTAACGTTTTATGGACAAAAGTGTACGTGTTTGTTCTGAGGTACAGTCAGACTCTTTGTTTTGGAAAAGATCATTTGAAAGTCATCTGAGTGTAGCTGAAACATCTGCATGAAGGACTCGAGAAAACAGGGAATTTAAGTTTATGAATGTGTAAACATGGGACAGACACCCTCAGATAGATGATAATATTGTACAAACTGTCATGTTTGTGTGTGTGTGTCTGGATATTCGCTCTTGGCAAAGTGAGCTAATCGCTTCCCAACAGTCAGCACAATCCTATGGATGCACACTGCAAATACACACACACACACACTCACACAGACAAAGCATAATTTTCATTATTGTTGGTGTTAAAATAATTTAATCTGTGGTGTGTGTGGCTGCACAGAAATCAACTCAATATGTTGTTTGAGGTGAATTATTTTTACTTGACCTAACTTAACAAACATGTCGAACTTCCCCCACTGTTGACTTGTCTAACGCAGCTCTCAGCTCAAGGAGAGATGTTTCGCCTTTGATTCATCTGGACAGTTCGTTTCTCACACACGTAGCTCTTAATGAGCGATGTTAAAAGTATTGGCATTCAGAGGCGTGCCAGGCTTAAAGTCAGAAAAGACCTCTCACACAAGGAAGACAGCCGAGAGAGAGGGTAGACGTGCTGAGGTGAAGGGTATTAGTTGGTCTGGAACCCACATGACCCCCCCCCCCATGGTGAAAATGATAATTCACAATTGCGAGACTGAGCCAATTCCAGGGCAAAGATTGCCTTCATAATTGAGCCTGTCAGAGGGAGTTTAGCCTAGAGTCAACTTCTGGGCATGGCAGTTTTTGCTGCAGCTGGAATCGTAACGGCCACTGGCACTAATTAAAATCCTTGATTCAATGTGTCATCTGATGTGCCAGGACATGTGTGACACACGTTGCCTCATCAGGGATCCTCTCTGGGTGCCCGGGCCCCGGTTCCTCCTGGAGGTGCCAGAATTGCTGATGTGAAATGACTGGATTCCTGCGTGGAGGAATGCCGGGAGCGGTTCACTTTAGGCTTATCTGTCACATTGGTTACATCACTGATGGAGGGATAGAAGGAAGCAATAATGAAAGACGGGAAGGAAGGATAGGGGCAAAGGAAGGACAGGAGCAAAGTGCAAGATGATGAATTAGGTTGCAGACAGTATTGCGTTTGCCAGGTATATCCCGGCGATGCTCTTCGGTAGTCTGTAGGCGTTGTTTGCCCTGTTACAGAAGCTCTTCCTGCCAATCTTATCCTGTTAATGGACAACTCCCATCCATCAGTGTAGTCCTGTAATGATACGAGAGCTGCCCATCTGACACCTGAGCTCGTCTTGACATTCAGATTTGTGCCTCTGAAGGTATGTTTGCATGCGGAAATAAAGAAGTTTACATAATTGCCCGTTCATCCTCCCCCGCCTCCTTCCTAATGTCTCCACTATATTTCTAAATAATCTGACTGACAGTCCCCGCTTGAGCTGTACTCTC